ACACACACACACACACACACACACACACACACACACACACACACACACACACACACACACATCTTTCTCTTGTAGCCAGGAAATTTATATAATAGCTTTGTAGCAAATGTGTTAATTCACAAGAGTGGTCCTATTGTCTGGAGTTTGAAGCCCCCTCTAGGAAGTTATTCTATACACACAGAGGCAAGTATCTCCAGCAACTTGGAAACCATCAGTTTGAAGGTAGGCAGAACGAAATGGTAATTCTTCAAGTGGACAATAGATGGCAGTACATCATCAATTTATGTCTTACAGCTAAAGCTGATTAGGTTTCATTAAATTACTTCTCATGTCCTTATCTCTGAAGCAAGAATTATGGGGTAAAGAAATGCATTTAATTTGCTATATACTGCATTATATATATCAATATACTTGAAGGGGCTGACTAGCATTAGGAAAACTCTAGGCAGACTTATAGAATGTGGATGAAACTTGAAGTTCAAGGCCATATCCAAGGTCTCTAAAGGGACTCAGCACTGTACACTTTTGAAAAGTAAGATTTTTTTTTTGTTCTTCATGAATGCATTTTATATAAGCTTCAAATCTCACAAAGTTTGAATTTCTCTGAGAATGGCTGTGTGGCTCCCTTAATTTAAGAAAAGAAAAATAGGAAAAAACTCAGGGCCTGAATTTTTTTGCTTAAGGCTAGTGTTCTACCACTTAAACCACCTCTGCTTCAGGTTTTTGGGTGGTTCATTGGAAATAAAGAGTCTCACAGACTTTCCTGTCCAGGCTGGAAGTCTGGTCTGGCTTGAACCCTGATCTTCAGATCTCAGACTCCTGGGTAGGTAGAATTATAGGCATGAGCCACCAGTGCCTGGCAGTATTGCTTTAATAATATAAAAATTGTAGAAAAAAAGAAATACTTATTGCTAATATATTTTCACATTTTACATAATTCAAAGAATAAAAAAACAAATATGCAAGGTAGTATTCCCCAGATTATGCTCATCTCTTACACACTTTCTTTGGTGATATTATCTCATCGATGCACACGCTCCTTGCCTTTTAAATAATTAATGCTTTGTATTGTTTTCCTTCTCATCCTTGGCACATGGTAGAAACTTCACAAGAATATCCATTGCTTCTGTGAAGCAGTGGGGCCTTAAAGTTTTAGTTCTCTTTCTGCTTCATTGACAGGCTTCATGCAAATCTTGATCTTAGGATCTTAGGGCTGGGGTATAGCTCTGTAGTAGGGCATTTGCCTAGCATTTGAGGACCTGGCATTGATCCTCTGCACTGTAAAAACAAAACAACAAACAAAAAAAAATTGACTTGTTCTAGCATTTTTCTCATTCCTTCCTTCCTTCCTTCTTTCCTTCCTTCCTTCTCTCTTCCTCTCTTCTCTTCCTGTCTTTGTTTATTCTTCCTTCCCTTTTTTCTTTCTTTCCAATATTGGGGTTTAATCTCAAAGCTTCTAGCTTCCACTCCATTTTTTCCACTCACAATTTATGTTCTACCACTTAAGCCACACCTCGAGTTGTTTTTATGCTGGTTAGTTGGAAATAAAAGTCACAAGAACTTTTCTGCCTGAGCTGGCTGGCTTCACACTGAGATCCTTATATCTCAACCTCTTGAGTAAGTTGGAGTGACATTACTCCCCATCCTATCTGGGGCAGCATCTCACAACATGACTCGGGCTGGCTCAACATCGTAATCTTTCTACCACTTTTTGCCTCAACTGGACTTGAACTGTGATCCTTCAGCTCTTCACTTCCTAAGTAGCTAGGATTACAAACAGGAGCCACTGTTTAGCATAAATTAAAAGGAAGGAAAGGAAGCCTCTTGCTGGTGGCTCACACCTGTAATCCTAGCTACTCAGGAGGTAGAGGTTGGGAGGATCACAGTTTGAGGCCGGCTAGGCAAAAAGTTCACAGGACCCTATCTCAACCAATAGCTGGGTGTGGCTACATCACAGACTGAAATTGAGAGGATTGTGGTTCCAGGTTAGCCCAGATCCCCTCCAAATGTTCACTAGACCTCTTTTTTCTTTTCTTTTTGTTTTCTCAACAGAAAAAACAAGTGGGCATTGTAGCTCACACCTATCCTCCCAGCTACTTTAGAAGACATTCATTGGTTTAGGCCAGATGAGGCGCAAAAAAAAAAAAAAAAGTGAGAGCCTATCTCAAAAATAACCAGAGCAAAAAAGCCTGGAGGTGTGGCTCAAGTAAACTATCAACCTAGTGAGCACGATACTCTGAGTCCGATCCTCCAAAAGAAAGAAAAGACAAAGAAAAATGAATGGAGAACAATGCCTTTGGGTTTTTTGAATTCCCTGAGTTGTTGATAGCTTATTGACATTACTGTTCCCATTCTGTAGAGCTCTGGATGTACTGGATGGAAGCCAGCAAGAACCCCAGGAATTTCCACTACACTGTGGGGAGCCCCAGGTGTGTCACTCCACAGGAGAGGTGTCTGCTCCTACGCCTGCAGACTCCACCCTGATGAAGAAGGTAAGGCTGCTTTTGTCTACCACTGGCTCCCAGGAATAGACACTTCAAAGAATCCAGCCCTAGGAGGCAGCCTGTCACCAGACTCTGCTGCGTGCAACATGTACTGGTGTGCAGGGTAAGAAGTGTCTGGATAAGTGAGTGGAATCTTTGCATCTGCTGTCTGCAGCCTCCTCCTCCTCCCCCTCACAGCCACCTCTTTATCCAGGCTGTGCTTGACCTTGAAGGTGTGCCAGGTTAATACCACACCCAAATGACAGCCAAGGGTTCTTTCCCATCAAAGCACTTTTGCTACAGTAAAGCTCTTGAGAGTTGCTATCATTTTATCACTCTTTGCTTTCTGTTACCCAGATGTTTGTACTGAATGTTGTGAGTTTTTTGGGGGGGTCTTTTTTGGGGGGTAGGGGCAGCGGCTAAGAGAGAACAGATAGGGAGGGTGAACAAATGCAATCATGGTACTCAGAGTGCTGTGATTTCATATCATTGCCTTAAAAGCTATCTCAAGATGGGAGAAGGAAGTGCGCGCGCACTGCACCCACTCGCCCTGGCAAAGGTGTCATTCATGGACTCACTCTTTGAGGACAGGGAAGAAGAATAGTGACTTTAGTCACATTGGGAGTGATGGCTAATTTAGCATGCAGGCCTTGAAAGCCATATAATACAGCTTTCCTTTTTTCCTTTCCTTTCCTCTTCCCATAACTCATGACCTGAGTGAGCTTTCGTAGTAAAAGATGTGGTAGATATCCTCCCAGTCAGGAGTCTCATAAGTTCAAAACTAGCCTTGGCTACATAGTTAGGCTGTCTTAAAACCTCCCCCACCTCCAAAGAGTACAAGATGGAAAGAGTTTTCTGGCTATTTCTTGTGCAACAATATGAATGTCCTTATATCCGGGAGTTTAGGCTTGCAGCTGTAATCCTAGCTACTCAGAAGACTGAGAACTTTGAGGATCAAGGTTCAAGGCTAGCCAGAACCTCAAACTATGGAGCTCCATAGTTAAAAATGGTCAAGATGAGCCAGGCTCATATTCAAGAGGCTAAGATCCAGAGTTGATTTCTCACTTTGTTCTTCTCTCTTTATAAGAATTAACTTGAGGAAGGGGATCACTTAGGCCTGGACTAGCCTTAGACATTAATCCTTCTAATTATCTATACTTCTGCCATAGCTGGGATAAAGGACTGGCAACACTCTGCCCAGCCTTTTCTGCTGAGATGGGGTCTTGCAAAGATAAACTTTGACCCTCTTGATCTCTACCTCCCAAGTAGCTATGATTACAGACCTGACCCCTAGCTTTGGCTGTCCTTTATCATTTGAAATAAAGTAATTCTGGAAGTCTAATACAATTAAAGTTGCCATGGTGTTTGTTGAGGTCTAGAAAATAATTTGTGGCTGCATTCCAGACTGGAACAAAAAAGTAAATTTCCTAGCTGGGCACCCCATAGTTCACACCTGAAATCCTGACTATTTAAGAAGCTGAGGCTCAGGGCTGGGAAGGTGGCTTAATGGTAGAGTGCTTGCCTTGCATACATGAAGCCCTGGGTTCAATTCCTCAGCACCACATAAGCAGAAAAAGTAGGAAGTGGCACTGTGGCTCAAGTGGTAGAGTGCTAGCCTTGATCTGAAGAGCTCAGAAACAGCACCAAGGCCCAGAGTTCAGGTGCCACGACCAACAAAAGAAGAAGAAGAAGAAGAAGAAGAAGAAGAAGAAGAAGAAGAAGAAGAAGAAGCTGAGCATCATGGTTCAAAGCCAGCCCAGGCAGAAAGTTCCTGAGACTCTTATATCTAACTAACCACCCCAAGTCCAGAAGTGAAGCTGTGGCTCAAGTGATATAATACTAGCCTTAAGCGAATGAATCTAAAGGACAGCATCCAGGACCTGAGTTCAAGCTCCAGTGCCAGCACCAATAAATACATTTGTTCTCTGCTGGGAGGCAATGGCTCATACCTGTAATCCTAGCTACTCGGGAGGCAGAGATCTGAGGATCACAATTCAAAGCCAGCCTGGGCAGGAAAAATCTATGACATTCTTATTTCCAATTAACCATCAGAAAACTGGAAGTGGAGCTATGGCTCAAGTCTTGAGCAGAAAAGCTCAGAGAAAGTGCCCCAGACCTGAGTTCAAGCCCCATGGCTGACCAAATAAAGAAAATTATTTCCTGAGGATGCTAGTGAGAAAAGTCTGTACGGCCCCCAGCCTTGCTTTGCCAATAGCCATGGCCTCTTCTCAGCACCAATGTACCCGTTCATGGCTCATTTTCCCAGGCTGCAGCCAATAAGCCCTGAGTACTGGGCAGCACACAGGAGAGGGGTCAGAAAGGGAGAAGGAGCCCAGTAGATGTACTGGCAGAGGCCGAGGCTTGGAGCAACAGCCAAGAGAACTTTCCTTCTAGGGTAGGAGGGAAGCAGAGCAGGGGGACGGGCAAGTAGGCAGTGACAGCTGTAATGAGGTCAGCCAGGCAATGTTTCTTCTCTGTGCTGCTTCACACTCATCCCTGGGGGATGGCCAGATGCCTCCAGCAGGAAGAACTAGCTTCTGGATCTCCCTGTTGTCTCTTTTCCACTCCTCTCCTACCCTGCCCTCACTGCCCTTCTCTCTCTCCAGCATTCCTTCTTCTTCACTGCCCTGAGACCTGGCTCTCTCACTGTGCTGTCTGTCAGCAAGGCCTGGGGAAGGAGGCCTGCCTCCCCCCCCCTCTTTTTTTGGCAGGGGAGGGGATGTCAGTCATGGGGCTGGAACTCAGGGCCTGAGCCCTGTCCCTAAGCTCTTTTGCTCAAGGATAGCAACTCTACCATGTTGAGCCATAGCTGCACTTCTGGCTTTTTGGGTGGTTAATTGGAGAAAAGAGTCTCATGGACTTTTCTGCCCATGCTGGCTTTGAACCACAGTCTTCAACCTCCCGAGTAGCTAGGATTACAGGCATGCACCCCAAGTGCCCAGTTAAGCCACAGACTTTCTTATCCCCTCTGACAGGTTTAACTTCATGTGAATTTTTATTTTCACTAAAGCTAAAACAATTTTGTATTTCCCTAGACAATCACAATTCACTCTCTTTATATTTGTTCTATACATTGAAAATTACTGTGTTTATTTACTTATTGCTTATTTTAGCATGGTGTAACAACAATCCTTAAAGCTGACAATGATATGTTGAATCCTTCCATTAAAAGGAGACATTTCATTCACTTGCTTGTGTACACGGAAATACAGATTCGTAATTACAAAGATAGCATCACCTCTCAATTACATATGTGTAACTAGAGGAAACCTGTAACTATAAATCAGAAAGTTTCAAGAATTTAAGTCTGAGGTGGGAAGGCTTACTGAAAATTGTATAATTATTTATTAACTATATTATATAACTCTTTAGTAATTTTGTGTTTATTGCTGATCCTGGGATTCCCAGGGACTAGATGCTCTCCTTGAGCTCTTTTTTTCTCAAGGCTGGCACTCTACCACTTGAGCCACAACTCCACTTCTGGCTTTTTGCTGATTAATTGGAGCTGAGAGTCTCATGGAATTTCCTGCCAAGGCTGGCATCCTCAGATCTCAGCTCCCTGAGTAGCTAGGATTGAGGGTGTTAAGCCACCAGCACCCAGTTTTCTTTATTAATTTTTAAAGAAGAAAATATGTTGTTTTTTAGGTATTTGATTTCTTCCAGAGCATTATTTCCTATTAGAGAAATGCATAAGGAGGTTGTTTCATTAGGTGAAAGCATAAATATCATGTGTTATATGTGGCAAGTGTGGTTCCTTCTTTGCATATTAGAGAGTTAACATTGTAGATACTTTGTTGTATATGTTTTCACATATGTACTTCTATTTATTATGTGAAGTTTACTGCTTAACTTATTTTGGAATTAAAATGTCTTTGTTTTACTCTAAGGAAGTATTTCTTGGGCACAAAGAAATACCTTGACTAATTAAAGCATTTCTTTAAAGAAGACTGAGCAATGAATTACTTGCAACACAGCATTTTCAAAGAGGATAATTCTCTTAGTGAGAATTTCAGTGATTCCCAGCATTAAAAAAAATCTCTTAATCTCCCTTCAATTCTAACTATTTACTTTGATCTAGAAAATTGTATGTGGCTACAGTAAAATTGTTATATTTTTATATTTTCAATCTTTTTGGACCACTTTCAGATAATGGAATATCAATAGCAATTTACATAATTTAATTCAGGGAAAAAAACTACTTACTTTTGCTTGAATCATTTGGGCCATTTCTCCTCTTTTGGAGGAATTTTAGATAATTAATTAATTTTGTGCCAATACCTGAGTTTGAGCTCAGAGCCTCATGTTCTCTCTAAGTGTGCTTGCTCTACTAGTGCTCTATCAGTGGGGACATCCCCACCCTAACCTAGCATTTTGCTGGTTAATTGGAGATGGAGTCTTACAGACTTTTCTGCCTGGACTGGCTTTGAACTTTGATCCTCAGATCTTAGCCTCCTGAGTAGCATTAATTATAGGTGTGAGCCACTAGCACCCAGCCTTTTTTTTTTTTTTTGGCATTTTAAACTTCAAAAATTCTTTAATAATTAATAGATGTTAGAAAAACTAATAAACAATGCACCTTTATATTCTACGGGGACATTCTATACATTAGAAAAACATCTTAAATCACAGTACATCAGGCTTTTATTTTTATTTATTTATTGTTTTGTGTTGGTTGTAAGGCTTGAGCTTTCCAAATCCCTGGGCTCTGTCCCTGAGCTCTTCAGCTCAAGGCAAGAGCCCTACCACTTGAGCCACAGCACCACTTCCAGTTTTCTGTGGTTAATTGGAGGTAAGAGTCTCATGGACTTCCCTGGCTTTGAACCGTGATCCTCAGATCTCAGCCTTCTGAGTAGCTAGGATTACAGGCGTGAGCCACTGGCACCCAGCTCAGGCTTTCCTTTCTTTTTTTGGAGGGAGGGGAAGTCGAGGGGGTCGGTATAGGGGCTTGAATTCAGGGCCTGGTTATTGACCCTGAGCTCTTTTGCTCAAGGCTAGCGCTCTACCACTTT